TCTATTATATTCAATCCACTCACTCATTTACACCCTTCTTGTTGTAGACAAAGGAACTAGTGCCTTACTTCACACATTATTGAATAATGAAAAGAGAACTAGTAATTTCCCATTTATCCACGCTTCCATTGATTTATTAAATATTAAGTAACACTGACAGCTTACCATTCACCAATTATTGTGCTGCTCCAAATATATAATTTCCTCTTCCTGATGAATAGATTATACATTCTTTTTACAATTATTGACTCAAAGAATGATTTGTTTGTAAAAAATGGATAGCATCTAATTTACCCGCCTTTGTCTTACATGAGAATTAAACCTGGAGAATATGCTTAAGGTTCAATGAGAAACCAGTTGCAAAAGTCAAAATTAAAACCCAAATTCCATTATCATTATCCCTGGTTAAGGAAATTGGTTTCATTGACAATTTGGGTCCATTTGTCTATCTGCACAGCATTAGAAGTCTATTCTCTGAGCCTCTGCAATAATTATCAACCTGAAAATCAATGGAATAACTGAGAGTATGCTACAATCCTGTTCTTTTGCAGGTGGGGAAACAGCGACCTAATCAAAATAAAACTGTTAAAACTTAGTCTACAACAATAGGGCCTAAAATATCTTCCATAATTCTAAATCTCCATCTCCATTTTCTGAACTCCTCAAGGCCACCAGCAGTTGAGGATGCTCAAAACTGTTACTAGTCAAACACAACATATGAGCATAAGTAGACTGATGTTCTTGCTATAATGCAGACAGAACCATGCTTTAGAAGAAAGAAAATTTCACAAGAAGGTTAACAAGATTTTGGCTGTAAAGCTTTGTTCACTCCTCTCTAGGTTATGCTTTAGCCTGACTAACTGTGGTTATGGATCTCTTCCATTGAACCAATACCCTCTGAAATGAGATGATTCCATCTTCAGACACAACCACTCAAAGGAGATGTGTGTATAGATGATTCTCTACCTCCAAGACATCAGAAATATCACCCCTTGGCTCTGTCTTTTAAACCTTGATGATGTTACCTAAGTAATAGATCCAGAGGCTTCCCTAGGTCTCTGAAATGCAACATTTTTTTTTATTTTCCAAATTTTATTATGAAAATTATCAAACATACAAACAAGTTGAAAGACGAACACAATAATTACCTATATACTAAGCAATACATTCAATAAACATTGATATTTTTCCATTCTGCTTTCTCTATCTTTGCTATGTTTTAATAACTAAAAATTTCACTGGGAAAACCCTTTCAAAGAAGCTTACTCAGGCCAGGCATAGTGGCTCACGCCTGTAATCCCAGCACTTTGGGAGGTTGAGGTGGGAGGATTGCTTGAGCCCAGGAGTTCGAGACCAGCCTGAGCAACATAGTGAGCTCTCATCTCTACAAAAAATTTAAAAACTTTAGCTGGGCAGAGTGGTGCACACCTGTGGTCCCAGCTACTCAGGAGGCCATCAGAAAGATTGTCTGAGCCTAGGAGATTGAGACTGTGGTGAACAGTGATTGTACCTCTATACTGCAGCCTAGGTGACAGAGTGAGACTTCTACTAACAAACAAACAAATATCAAAACACAAAGAAAAAAAATACAGGAAGTTTACTCAGATCCTGTAAATGACTATCCCTTCCTCACCCTTCCCCACCATCTTTGTCTCAGCCAAGAGGAATTTAAGACTTAGTTTTTGCCTTGAACTCACAAGACATTCACCTTAGGGACCTTGTGCTACCCAGATTCTTAGTCACCACGTTGATATTTAAAGCTTTCCCTGTACCAGCCTTCTACATCTAGGTCTTTATGGCTGCCTTCAATTAGCCTTATCCAGTCCTGATAAACGTTACCACTACCAAGTTCTGCGCAATGATCTTGCATTTGTCCCAGATCTCCATACAACAAAAATCATCCCCTAATAAAGTGGAACATGTGTGAACCTCAGGACCTGATAATGCACCTTCCATAGAGGACTCAGGCATGTTGTTCCTAAGGGCCTGATTTTATCAATCAAGAATAAAAACTGTATCTATAGATCTAGTAAAAGTTGTTTCCATTTAACTTTTCTCTTTTTTTTTTCCTTCTGCATGCTCTCAGGTAATCCCTAATATCCTTTATTCTCATCTTGCTAGTACATAAGGAACAGAACAGAAAAGTAAAGAGCTACGTCTTTATATTTAGTAAGCTCTTCTACATAGTAGCTGTGTAACTTTGTACACATGTTCCTTCATTCTTCATGTAAGATGGAGAAAATAATAGTACCCAGTTTATAGAGCTAAACTTCTGGCACAGTGACAAGTACATGCTAATTCCTTAATGAGTACTAGCTAATTAATATTAATTACTATTAGTAAGTGAGAGGGGCTAAGTACTGCTGAATCAATAGAAATTTTAACTAAATTCCATTTCCTTATCTATTGAAAATTAACCTCCTGGGGTTGTGAAATAAATATCTGGTCTGCATTCAATATCCAACTAAGAAACAAACTGTTATACTATTTATGCATTAAAACTGGAATGAGACATTTATAAATTTCCCGACAAATGTTCTTTTTAATTTTACTTTCAGAATTAACAATAAAATTGAGAGAAAATTACAATTCATGAGCCTATTCTGCGCAGGAGTAATAATTCTATGCATGTCAGATGTGTTCAGGAATCTGTATATTTTGACAGTGGCCTTTGTTGGAAGTGGGAATGGGAGGATGATGATTTCCTACTGTCATAATTTCAAGGTCCAGTAATGGTGTCCAAGTAGTCTTGGTAACAATAAGTGGTCATCATTTTTTTGTTTAATTAAGGATTTAATTACATGATTTATGTATATAATTAATTATATAAAGAAACTAATATTGATAATATCAATATTGATCCTTCTTTTTCCTTCTCAATTCGAAAGACATTCTGATTGTTGATCTTCCTAATCACTCAACTTTACATATATTTATTCACACAATTCATTCTCCGCCTTTGCTGAGTTGCTTATTTACAATGTAGGTGCTTGGTCAGTGTTGGGTATACAAAGAAGAATATGACATGCTCTCATCTCTAAAGATGGGTATCCTAGGAGACCAGGAGGAGCCATGAGTGATTTCGGAGTTAATCTTGGGAAGATGAAATGATACGCAGCGCAAAATTCTTATCTCCCTCTATACTTAACTTTTTAAAAACATTTCCTTTTTTTTTGAATTGGAGTCTCATTCTGTCACCCAGGCTGAAGGGCAGTGGCACGCTCCCGGCCACAGCAGCCTCGACCTGCTGGGCTCCTGCGATCTTTCCGCCTCAGCCTTCCAAGTAGCCAGAACTACAAGGCGCGTGCTATCATGCCCAGCTAATTTTTGATTTATTGTAGAGACAAAGTCTCATCAAGTTGCCCGGGCGCGTCTCGAGCATGGGGGCTCAGGCAATCCTCTCGCCTCAGCCTCCCAAAGTGCTGGGATTACAGGCTGAGCTACCAAGCCAGGCCTATACTTAACTTTCTAAGAATATAAATTACAACCTCTTGTCATTGTCCTTTTGCCACTACCCATGTGGTCATCTTCTCAACAAAGTCTTTTTAATACCTTATGTTTTGAAGTTGATTCCAAGTAATAAGTTTGGTACAACATATCTGCTGAACACAGTCATTTCTACTAGTACTGTGGAAACCCACCACTTTGGTAGAATCTTTTCATACTTTGCCAGTCAACTTATTCTTTCTTTCTCCTTAATTTTCTTCTTTCTTAAGGCATATATGTAAGCGACACTTATGTCTAATTCATCTCCCTACCACCAGTGCTTGACTACAGAATACAAACATGCTCTCTCTCTCTCTACCTCTCCCTATCCCTCCCTTCCTTGATACCCAAATGTCTTTTTCTCTACAAATAAGCTGAATCTAAAGATCTAAGCTAATGCATCAGTCAGGAGTACTGACGAAAGCAGAAAATAAAAATGAAACGGAACAGATAAGACAATGTAGGGTTGCAGGCATTCCTGTATAGGGTTTGAGGGCTCTTGTTCTGAATTTGGAACAGGGTTCAAATCCCATCTCCAGAGATAATTTTTGTTGTGATCTTGGGCACGTTGTTTCAGTCTCTGCTTCTTCATTTGAAAATAAAGATAATAGCAATTCCTAACATATGAGTTTGTAAGGATTAACATAATAAATTATTGGAAAGCACTTTGTTCAATGTCTGATTCCTAACAAGTGTTCAATAAGTAATACTACTGTTATTATCATCACTATTATGAAAAGGTAACCACATATTTATGCAAAATAGAATAAATTAGAAAAAATGAAATGAAAACATCAGAATTTAGAAGTTCTTTCCCTATAATGCAGATAAATCCTTTATATTGTAAATTTTTCAGAGTAAGATAGATATTTTTTCTGGAAAACTGTCTATTGTTTTTAACACAAAATCAACTTTAAAAGTTAAGAAAGTCTTATTTTACAAATTATCTTTACCCAAAGAATAGAGTATCACAGTTTTCTCTGTCACAGAGGCACTTTTCAGAGCATAAATTTACTATTAATAAACATGAGATAACTATTTTATTTATCTGCAAGTCCGATTGCTCCTTGGAGGGTAAGAGGGCACAGTAAGCTTTCCCATTATCAGAGGTCCATGACCTAGTTCAGGCAGATCAGACATAATTTATAAAACACAGCATCTGCCACATTCAAACAATTATTTGGCATTTGTAATGGTTTTATCCCCCCCTCCTTTTAAGAAACACTGTGTCTCAGCTATTTTGATATTGTTTATCCCTCCTCCTTAAAGAAAACAGTTTTTGGATCAGCAGCTGATATTAGAAGATAATTCAGAAAAACTTGGTCTTAGCTGGTACTAAGTCCCTTTGCAAGCATGCTACCTTAAGCTCTCAGATGTCTACTGGATCGAAGGCTTAACTGTTTCCCAGTAAAACTGAAGAAAGACTAAGGAAAATAGAACAACATTCCTTTCCAATGAAAAGGAATCACTAATTTTTTCAGGAAAAGTTACAATTTGAATTGAGGACAACAGACCTGAGTCCATAAAGGACTGTGCCATCAGGATGCAGACGAATCATGCGGTTCTTAACAGTCACTCCATGCACAAATGACTTCTTATCGTTCAGGAAGTAGGTATCGGGCACCCAAAGCTGGTCTGCCACTCTGTTGTCCAGAGTCAAGTTTAAAGGTATTACATTATAGGACAGCCTCTTATCTCTCCAGGCTTGCTGAAAGTACATTGTCAAGGTATAATCCTGTGAATGTGAAGAGAAAATATGGTTATTTTGTGCACAAAAAGACTTGGGGGATAAGTAAACATCTCAGTATTAATAAGAAAAAATATGTACAGCTATAAGGCCACACAGTTTAAACGTCCACTATTCACATACAGGTAAGTATTAATTTATTAAACTCATTCTTACTAAATATCTACTATGGATTAGGTACCATGGTAGGCACTATGAATACAGAAGAGAAGAGAATAAATTCACGTAGAGTTTATTATGTTTTGAAGGAAAGAAGTTGTTGAGGAATAATTACTGAATGATTTATTTATGTTTCTCTAAGCAGAATAAACAGGACTGATTCAGGTGAAACATAACAGAATTTGAAAAATAGATATGTATTTGTTTTATGTGTACTAAAATAATTAACTAATATATTGAGCCCAAGATTTCATGAATTCATTCTTCCATTCATTCATTCAATAAATGTTTAATTTGGTCTAGTATTTGACAGGTGCCCTTGAGGTAGTGGGATAAAAATGGTAAGCAAGACAGATCAAATGCCTGTTCTGGAGGAATTCATAAACAAAGCATAGATTAATCAATATATTAATGCAAATAATATATTTTATGAAGCAATAAATCAAGGTGTGAAATATTTAGCTGGAATGGCATAGAAACGGTTCTTTTTGAAGTTGGCATTGTGTTGCTATGAAACAAGTAGCCCGAAGCGTTGGCTCTTAGAAGATCATCCAAAGAAGAGGGAAACTGCAAAGGCCCTGAGGTAGAAATAAGCTTGGCATGTCTGAAGAACAGAAGGGACCTGCTCAGTGATACATAGAGACCAGTAATACACAGGAAAAGTAGAAATAAAGTAGTCAAGAAAATTAGCTTCATGAAATTTACAGTTTAGTGGGAATGCGTATTTAAGATAGTTTGTTACAAAGTGGTTAATTCATTATTGCAATAACTTTAAGAGTTTGTAAATAAATTAAGGTGGGTTTCCCAGGAGAGGTGAGAGTTACACTAAGATTAATGTAAGTTTCCTAACTCTCTAAATAATATTAACTCAATCAGTACATCATGAGAATTTTAATCTGCATCATGGATCAGCAGGCTGAGAGTTCTTAGCTTTTAGAGACAGGGGGCTGCAGTTGGAGTGAGCACTGCTCTTGGAGTCTCAATTCTATGATTTCTCTACTCATTTTCTAGGCGTACATTTACATAGCTTCTTTTTGCTTCAGTTCCACTAAGTATAAATGAGACTTTTATAACATGTCTGAGCTAATTGGAAGACTACTTTGAAAATTAAATATATAACTCAAATGCAATTTGTAAACTACAAAAAGCTATATATTATGAATGAAGCATTTACATATATATTATAACATATTTTATCCATTAGAAGCCTATGGATACAATGTAACTATCTCTCACCCTCATTTGAATGGCTAAGTGAAGGTCCAAACAGTCATTTGAAAAGGATAATTACAATTCTATTTTAAAATCAGTTCAAAATGTCCTACTTGAGGGGTTGAAAAAAATTACAATCATGTATTAATTATCTCTGCAACCTGAGAGGTTAGCAGAGTTCCTAGGGCACAAACAGTGAATGAATTAATAAATAACCAGTAAGATATCCCTAGTGTATTTCTGCACATCATCTATGTGATGTTTTGTGTATAAGACGTATACCTCAATCTCAAAAAAGTCTTAAGTTTTTCCAATTTTAGTTGAAATTTATACATTTTAATTTAGTCATGTTAAAAGATAACTCATAAGTTGTTATTTGCTCTAACACTGTACAGTTTTCACCGAAAAAATATAGCAGCCCTGTAAAACAAATGCAATATTTTTCCTGGTTTTGCAACACACATATTTTTACCTCATTCAGAAGTAGTGTAAGGCCTTCTAATTTTACAATCAAACTTCTATCCTAACAAAAGATACACTAATATTCTAAAGATATATCAAATAATTGTTGGTGAAATTCACTTTAATGGATTACTTTAGTCAAAGCTCTGGATTGTTCAGTACTCCGCTTTAGTAAAGAATTAGTTTGAGACTCTCTAGAGAAGCATCTTAATTTATAACAAAAGCAACTTTGAAGATTTATTAATTATATAACTAGAACTCAGAAAAAGGACTAGATGTGGTTTTTTTGTGCAAGTCTATGTTACAAATAACCTAGGAGTAGGACATACAAAATAAAATAGGCAATTTCTATTGTGCTTGAGAGAATAAATTTAGTAATTTCCAATTCTTGGAATGGAAAATCAGATGATCATCCTTATTAGAAGATGAAACTACTTACACTTCTTTAATAAGCCCCTTGAGATTTAGGAGAAATAATATTGTTTGGAAGGTGCTGGAGTTTATCAATCAGATAAGATGTGTTTGGACACAGGAAATTATATTCTCTTTCCAGCTAAATAAATGGTAATATTGTGAGATCCTGTGTAATATGCTAACTCCTGTTATTTGTCAGCAAGGCAATGCCTGCTAAGAAATGCTCCCAGACAGACTCTGGTGATTCTGCAAACTGTCACATCAATTTTCATTTCATTTATTTTTTAATTACATATCATGACACTGTCAAGAGAGGAAGAAGCTCTTGAATCTAAATAAATATTATAGGACATAAAGGAAAATAGTGGTCCTGTGTTCCACCCTTTCCTCTAAGCTCCAATCCATCTGAAATAGATCCTTCGAACTTCTAAAATGCACCCCTCACATTCAACAACTCTACCATCGAAAGCTGCCTCATAGCTGGTTTATTCAAACTGAAAAAACCCACACAAACCACTTTAATCTCTCTCGTCATCACACAAGAAGGATTTACATAATCAAAACTCAAGTCATTTGATTCTCAATACTAAGCAAGATGGAGTAAGCCCATTACAGGCTATTTCTTCCACTAATTGCAACTAAAAATCCTGGAAGAAATTTAAAAAGTAACTACCAGAGGACTATGCAAAGTAAGCAAATAGTAGGCACAGTGAGAAGGAAATCAAAATATAAGAAACTACAAAGGCGAGTTTCTTGATTGTTTTATTTTCTTCTTCCTCTTTTATCTCCTTAAAGTAGCATGAATATTTACAGACATAGCATAAAGACCTCAATAAATAGAAAAACATACCATATTTCTGGAGTCAAAGAGTGAATGTTGTTAAGATACCAATGCTTCCTAAATTTGTCTATTAGATAAAACTCAGTCCCAATCAAAATACTACTTACCAGAATTTGTGGTAGATATTGACAAGGTGGTCCTAAATTTATATAGAATATAAAGGAAAGATAATAGCTAAAACAATTTTGAAAGGGAAGAACAAAGCTGGAGGACTCACATTATCTGAATTCAAGACTTACTATTAAGCTATGCTAAGACCGTGTGTTAATACTGACAGAAAGACAGATACAACAGTAATGTCTAAAATAAGCCCACACACCAATATATTCAACAAATTTATGACAAAGGTACAAAGGCAGTAAATTGGAGAAAGCATAATATTTTCAAAAAATGGTCTGGATCAAATGGAATATTAATGTGCAGATAGATAGATAGATAGATAGATAGATAGATAGATAGATAGAAATAATAGACAAAGAAATGACTCATACTGCATACTTTGTACAAAAAAACTAACTGCAATGTAAAATAAAACTATAAAACCTTAAGAAGAACACAAAAGAAAGAATTTGACTGTGGGCTAGGCAGAAAAATAGATACAACCCTTATAAGCAATACAACAAAACAACAAAAAAAATCAACAAATTGGAACTCAACAAGGTTTGATTTTTTTTATTGATAAGACATGTTAAGAGAGTGAACATACAAACCACAGAATGGCAAAAGTATTTTCTAAACACGTCTTTGATTCTCAAGATTCCACAAACAACCCAATAAAAATAGACAAAAGTTGTGAACAGACACAATGAAACAAGATACACAAATGATAAATAAACACATAAAATGATGCTCGACAGCATTAGTCAATATGAAAAAACAAATGATTAAACCACAGTAAGATTCTACTACACACACACTATAAAAGCATCTGACAATTTCGAGTGCTGGTTAGAAGCACAGCCACTGGAAGTCTCATACATTGCAAATGGAAAGACAAAACTACCAGCCACTTGGAAAACTACCAGTCATTTGGACAGTTTCTTATAAAGTTAACAAATATCTGACATGTAACTTAGTGATCCCATTCCTGTGTGCAAATGTTTACAGCAGCTCCATCTCAACTGCCAAAACTGGAAGTCATCTGAATGCTTTTCAGCAGATGAAGGTACAAGTAAACTATAGCACACAGATGATATAGAATACTATTCAGCAGTCAAAAAGAACAAACTTATTGATATAAGCAATATTGAAATGTCTGTAAAACCTATAATAACCTGTAAAAACTTGCTTGACAAAAGTAACTCCCTTTTGTTAAAATCTTCCCTTTTAGTTGCCTGCCTACTCAGATGTACCCCCCCCCCCCCCGCATGTGACCACAACTGCCCTTAGCCCCTGAGCTATACTTCCTGATCTTTCTTGAAAACCCCCTACACTACATCCTCCACCTGGTCAACTGCCAAACTAAGTAAACATGTAACCCCAAAAAGTTCCTTCCCTGCTCCTAGGTCCTCCTAACATGTAACCAATAGTTACGAAAGCTGTAGTTTTTGACTTTATAAACTTCTTGCTTTCTCTGTTCAGGGTTGAGAGTTTTTCTGGCGTCAGCCAACTCTTAGCCACAGACTATTAAAGGACTCAAAATCTGACGCTCTTCGTGTTGGTGACTTTTTTCTCACACTTCAGCTATAACAATATCATTACTGGTTTCTAAATACAGAAAGTAAAGTGAAAAAAGCTAGTTTTAAAAGGTACATGCTTTAAGATTCTATTTTTATGACATTCTGAAAAAGATGAAACTGTAGGGACAGAGAGCAGATGAGTGGTTTCTTGAGTTTCAAGAAAGGGGAGTGGTTGACTACAAAGGATCAGCATGAAGAAATAGAACTGTTCTGTAGCTTAA